GACCCCGGATAGGCGGAAGAAAATGGATGGATGGATGGATGGATGGATGGCATGACTTTCCTTTAATCAGGTTGCAACAACTAACTAAACCTAACACAAAACGTAAGAACATTTGTTTTTGGTAGATTATTTCTTTATTGTAACAAAAGTTCTTGGCGATAAATCTTACAGAGGGAGACTGGGGGTGCCAGAGGCTCAAAACAAGTGTCAACAAAAACAGCAAAATAAGTTGTTTGGCAATGACAGAGAATATACGGCAATTTCTTATGTGTGCAACCTTCACAGCTCTACTGCTCATCCCACAAATGCACATTCCTTACAAATGTTGCACCATTTATAAGAGAATGACCAGGATTTAATGGTATAAAACCTATTGCCAAGAAGCATTATTACAACAAAGAAACAATCCACCAAACACACATTTCTTTACTTTTTGTGCTATTTATTTTAGTAGTAGATTTAGTCAAATCCAACTCATAATTTACTTGAATATAATGTTTGCAAAACCTTATTATAATGTGTCTGAAATGGATCAAAGCAGCTTAGAAATGCTTACATAAAAGTACTTCAGCCAGTAGCAGCCATCAGCTGTGCGTTCAGCATATATATATCTGTGTTTTGGCAGTGTCAAGTCTGCCACGGCTCTCTGAGTAACATGAAAGCCGGGGACAGCATGTGGATCTATAAACGCATGGTGCACTGCGAGAACTGCTTCGAGGACACCAGAGGTAAAAGTTCTGATCCATCCGTGGAGATTACGCTCAAACGACTCTTAATAGTGTTTGCTATTTTTACAGAAATCCTAATGACATCGATGTTATGTCATTCTCTTTCCCCCCAGAGAAATGGCGTCGCTGAGCCCTTCCTTGAAGATTATTCAACTTGTTGCATCACAATGTGGGTGACGTGGGTCCTTATGCTGGCATTTTACCAAACGGAGACATCTTTTAGTAATGGCTTTGACAAATCACAGTTACATGATCTTTAAACATGTTGTGATGTTGCTGTCTCTGTACCTACCTCTTTATAGTTTTCTTTTCTGGGGATTCTTGTGGGAAACATTAAAAAAAACTCATTACACCACTTAGGGCCGGGGGTTTTTTCCTTTGTGCAATAGAAGCAAAGACAAATATCTTCATCTAAAATTTACAAGTGATTGAAAATGTCCCCCCTTTTTTTGGATTACTTCTAAATCACTGTAGACCCCTCCCCCTCAAAAAAAGAAATACAAAAAATTTATAAAACAGGATGAAACAGAATCTCAAAATGTGATGGATTTTGGAGAATTTTTTGATGAATATGATATAAGATTATATTAATATTGTAACAAAATGGAGTTTATTTGAATGGGAGTTTTTTAGTTTCATCACAAAAATCACAAGTGCTTATTACATGCTGGGGTGATTTGTCTGTTTTTATGTTTGCATCATTTGTTCACAGGTTTGTGGCTCTTTACCACAGTCTATTATGCATTTTAAATTTGTGATAGAATATGCCAACAATATGCTTAATGCATTTGCAACCAAGATATACCAAATCATGTGTAGTTTTGAAATGCACCTTTAAATATTAAGCAATAAATGTTTTGTCAACATCATGGGAATTTTTGAATTTCATTTACATTTAGTTTACCTACAACCAGAGTTATAAATTTTGTCAGATAACATGCTCTAGTTTTATGTACCTTTCAACTATTCTTTTGGTCGGCAATAAATATTATAAAGTGCCAAGGATTTAAATTCCTAAAATGAGAGCATGTCTCAGCAGTTCTCCAAAGTCTATATGAAGCCAATAACAGCCATTTCTGCACTGTGGTAATTCTAATCTGGGTAAATCCAAACTGGTAGGAAGACAAAGAAAAACTTTTATTGACAAAAGAAGGCTTGTTACAGGCAGGACATTTAGTTACAAGTGTTTTCCATTCACCTAATGCAACAAATACGGAAATAATAAGGAGTTCCCAGAGACACTTAGCCCTTGTTGGCCCTTTTGCCTTCAGTCTGTGGTCCAGCTCACCCCAAACCATCTCAATTGGGTTCAGGTCCAGTGTGGGCCAGGTCATCTGGCACAGCACCCTATCACTCTTCTTCTTGGTCAAATAGCCCTTACACAGCCTGGAGGTGTGTTTGGTGTTATTGTTCTGTTGAAAAATAAATGATGGTCCAAATAAACGCAAACCGGATGGAATAGCTTGCCGCTGCAAGATGCTATGGTGGACATGCTGGTTCAGTTTGCCTTCAGTTTTGAATAAATCCCCAACAGAGTCACCAGCAAAGCACCCCCACACCATCACACCTCCTCTTYCATGCTTCACGGTGGGAACCAGCATGCAGAGTCCATCCATTCACCTTTTCTGCATCACACAAAGACACGGTGGTTGSAACCAAAGATCTCAAATTTGGACTCATCAGACCAAAGCAGAGTTCCACTGGTCTAATGTCCATTCCTTGTGTTCTTTAACCCAAACAAGTCTCTTCTGCTTGTTTCCTGTCCTGAGCAGTGATTTCCTAGCAGTTATTTTACCATGAAGGCCTGATTCCCACAGTCTCCTCTTAACGGGGTGGTCCTCATGTGAGCCAGTTTCTTTGTAGCACTTGATGGTTTTTGCGACTGAACTTGGGGACACTTTCAAAGTTTTCCCAAGTTTTCAGACTGACTGACCTTCATTTCTCAAAGTAATGATGGCCACTCATTTTTCTTTACTAAGCTGCTTTTTCTTGCCATAATATAAATTCTAGGTCTATTCAGTAGGACTATCAGCTGTGTACTGTATCCACCTTCTGCACAACACAACTGATGGTCCCAACCCCATTTATAAGGCAAGAAATCCCACTTATTAAACCTGACAGGGCACACMTGTGAAATGAAAACCATTTCAGGTGACTACCTCTTGAAGCTCACCAAGAGAATTCCAAGAGTGTGCAAAGCAGTAATCAAAGCAAAAGGTGACTACTTTGAAGAACCTAGAATATAAGACATATTTTCAGTTGTTTCACACTTTTTTTGTTAAGTATATAATTCCACATGTGTTAATTCATAGTTTTGATGCCTTCAGTGTAAATCTACAATTTTCATAGTCATGAAAATAAAGAAAACTCTGAATAAGAAGGTGTGTCCAAACTTTTGGTCTGTAGGCCTACTGTAAGACGTTTCCTTTTTGGAGTTAAATGTGTAGGCTGTGATGCTGGAAGAAATACTTCCTGGGAAGTGGTGTGATGGGAATTAAACTCAGAGCTGCTGACCAATCAGAAGGCGRCTGTGCAGTCATCCCAGCAGTAGCATCACTGTGAGTGGTGTGTGTGTGTTGTGGCTTTAACAGGGGGAATCTGGACACTGTGTCTGTCTGAAAAGGACCCTCTGCAGGCAGGCAGGCCGTGCTCCACAGCTCCTGCTCCTCTCAGATGTGCTTTTTTACCAAATGGAAGCAGAGGTGTTGAACCCCGCGATGATGGCGGACGTCAGCTGCGGCAGTAAAATCACCAACGCGGAGCTGGAGGTGTTAAAGCTTCAAGAATTGGTGCGAAAACTGGAGAGGCAGAATGAACAATTGCGGAGCCGAGCGAGCGCTGGGAACAATTGCTCCGCCGGCCCTCGTCACCTCCAGAGCCCTCTGTCTTGTCTGCACGGCGCCACGGCGCGTCTGGGGGACCATTTCTCCGTTAAATACGACCTTTCCAGTCCCGCGCAGTCCCTGCTGTGTGCGTCCGAGAGCCGGGGGTCGGCCGAGGAGCCGTTCGCCTATTTCCAGCCGAGCTCCGCGTCTCCTGACGCCGCCGAGCAGGGGGACGGAGGAGCCACTGTTCTGGACGAGGTGGATGTTTTGGACCTGGACACGGTGCTCTCAGTTGGAGAGACTGAGAGCTGGTGAGCGCTTATGTTTGACTTTATTCATTTATAATGAAAATAATATATTTATTTTTGTGCTTTATAGGCCAAAAGACAGAGAGCTTTAATTTGTGTGATGTGAAGCTCTGTATGAGCTGAACTCACATGCAGATCACTCTCCCTACTCTCCCCCCAGTGTATGACTGCAAACTATAAACAAAGGAATGCATAGGCTATCACCCAATCTTTCATCCTAAGGTTTTATGAGATCACATGTTAAGGTTGAAACATAATCAAATCTTGTGATTCAAAATTCCACCTGATATTTCCTGATCTCTGAGCTACAGCAGGACAGATCTTAGTATCTGTTTAAGTTTTGTGTTTGATTTTGATTTTAAATAGTTTTAGAGTTAATCAGTGTTAAATGTACCTGTGTTATTCACTTTCTGAGGTTGTTCAAATCTGCTTAGTGGTTCATGAGATATTTTGCTAACAGACAAGTTTTTAAACAAAGATGTTTTGCTAAGCACAGTGTATATGTTCTAAATTAGTCTCAAACTGAGTTTTAGGAAAGTGGTCGTGGAATTGATTAAGTTAGAACCAGTTTTGTGTTTGAGGAGTTTGATCAGCTGTGGTGGCCATTTTGATTCGAGCTGAATTCAAAAATTAAACATTTATAGATGTGCATAAATTAAACTATTTCCCAGAGTTTCATTAAAATCAATCAAGTAGTTAATGAGATATTTTGTTAACAGACAGGCAACCAAACAAGTGGTGAGAGCAGAGCAACTAGATTATCACCTGGCTCTCATGGCTGCAGTCAGTAACAAACACGTAACTTAAAATGATGCTGGTTGTGCAAAGAGACATACTTTTTTTGAGGACAGCTTTATTCACATTTTGGACCGAGAAGATGGATGGTTTGAAGACCTCAGTGACCCTCAGGAGGGAGGGTAGGGAGTGATGTGCTTGTGAGAGCTCCTAAGCTTTTAGTTTGAATTCAGAAAGCTCCTCACATTAGAAGCATCCCCCCCCCCCCTTATTTTAAACAGCTCTTTGAGAGATGCTAGCCTGTCATGCAGCCATTGGTTGATTATCGTATTATTTGAATCATTTATTGAGCTTGCAGCCTCCTGAGAATAAAAGGCTCCTGTACGCTCTTTACATGCAGCATAGGTAGGTGTTCAGAATAAGTCTGTGGGATGAATTTAGAAACAACGGCCCTCCCTTCAGTGTGTGATCAAACAGCTTGGCTGTGCTCGTGCTGTTCAGCCCCGGGCTGAACTACTTTGAGGCACAGTGGCTGCTGACTTGAGCTGCTCGCAAACCGACGAATTTGAYTACTGAAGCATTACACCAGCTTTATGTGATGATGTGGAAAATGTAGCTCACAGCTGAGGGCTGCACTGATGGGATCCAGCATTTATCTCCTGCGTCCAGTACGCACTGGCCTCCATTTAACATGACAGGTTCACCTTAAAGTCAGTGGAACGCTGGCCTAGTTGTTGAGTTAAGKGTCAGCTCTGCCTGCTTTGTGTTTATACACTTGAATTGTCCGGGACTCAAATGGTCCCTTTCTAATTCTACCACACAGAATCAGCCTGAAGTAATACCTTATTGAATAGATATATTCTACGAGAGTCAGCCAGATAACAAAAAACCGAGGTCCACTTGCAATAGGTTTGTGTGTTAGCAAAATATCTCAGACAGTAATCATTGGATGTATTATGGATGCAACTATTTAACTTTTGATTCAACCCAATTCAAGAAGCAACCTCAGCTATTTAAAGTGACTGTGACATGCATATACTTCAAATACAAAAAGTCAAAGAAAACATATTTATACTTTAGAAATTGCCCTAAAACACATGATTTTACCCATTTTGTCACATAACTGGCCTATTTTCTTTTGAATCTGTCTCAGCCAAAGTAAAACAGGAAGTGACATCAAAGGGGAACTCATTAATAAAATAAAGTCTTTGGTCTTTGTTTGTTAAAACAAAAATAATTTAAACTTTAACAGAGACTTAAAATAATGTAAAGAAATATATTCTTCTCCACAGTCTGTGTTGTTAGCCGTTGTAGCAATGCTCTGTTCACATGCAGACATTCTGCTTTGACATCACTTCCTGTTACTTCACATGCAAATATCTCAATAACCGTTCATCTGCGATGTGAAATTTGTTTTGCAATATGTTATCAATGTTATCTTTCCAAAAATGCATTCATGTTTATCTCAAAAATTTGATGTCACAGGCACTTTAACCTTAAACTTAACCTTAACTTGAGGCAGCCAGGCAGGGGAGCAAAACTGGTTAGGGTTAGGGTTAGGGACTAGAATCGCCTTTTGGGATCAGCTCCTCCTCTGGGCTGTGTCTCCAAGCTGAGCTTCCTCATCACAGAGCACACACACCCACCCAGCCCCATGCTGAAATGAGCGGGACAGAAGTGGTAGGAGGTTCTTAAAGAGACAGAGGCCAATTTCAAGGTGTTTAGAAACAGATATGATAAGAAGTCAAGCTTATTTTCTATTTAAACATTTAAACAACATTTTAATAACAACTGAAGGTGACATAGTTAGTTTATTATGGCATAGAATTTAAACATATGCCTGAGAAACACATACTATTGCCCCTTTAATAAACACAAGAATAAGCTATATGTTTGTGAAGTGCACATGTGGTGTGGTAGTAGCTGAGAGTTATTCATATAGTCTGAGTGTTAACAGAGTGTGTCAGATTTGTGTGTATCCAAGTAAAGAGGTGACACGCTTTTTGATTAGAACTTTTTATTTATTTATTTATTTATTTATTTATTTATTTATTTATTTATTTATGGACAGAAAAAAAATCTGTTTTTGTTTTTTTGTGTGTTTTAGATTAAATATGTAAATTTTGATAAACAGCCTATTGCTCTAAATGATTTAATTTCTCAGAATCCTTGTGGGAATGCATGTGATGGAYAAGGTTTAAGCAAATTACGTATGTTGTAATGTTAAAACTATTGCTGCATTTTGTTGAAAGCTGTTTGGACTTCCCAAAAATCTCACAGGTTGATTTAAAGTGGTGTCACAGTTCAATATAACACTGTTAAACTCGCCTATTGAAGTCATTTTTTTCACTATATGAATTAATGGACCATTTTGAAACTTTTTTACCTGAATGTGCAGATAAGGTTGCGGGACATGACTTACTCTAACTTGTTCTTTTGTTTTTCCAGGCTTTATGTGTCTCCTAAAGCTAAGCTCAAGAGTGAAAGCRTCATCAGCCCTTTCCAGTGGTGTAGGCAGGTCCTGGACCATCCTGGGCCTGAGGTGGAGCTGGCTAAGATGACCTTCTGTCACAGACTTGATCAAGGTTAGAGGGTTTGGAAAAGCAGGTCCAGCATCTGCACATGTTGACTGCTGTGATGTTGAATGACTCAAAGGTTGAATATATTAATTCAAATTTGGTACTAGCTAAATTATAATAATTAAAGTAGCACTAGAGAGCTTTTAAAAAGGGTTATAAATAATAAGTATCTTACCTGCTGTAGATAGCTCATTGAACAGCATGTTTGGAGTAATATTGATTGACAGAGTTGTAAAACATTGATATTTTCAAAAAACAAAACAAAAAAACTTCAGTTTGATTATTTAATGCCTGGAGACGTGATGAGCTGAYTGATCATGGAGCTTGTATTTGTTCWGACAGAATACATCCCGTCCTCGTTTCAGTTCAAACACGTTTTCATCCTGTGTTCCTCACACTAGCCAGTCACAGCTGTGTATCTAATATAGGACAAGAAAAAAAGGCAGCCCAGGAGGATGTTGATGAAACACTTGATTTGTTTGAAATCTGCATTTGTTTTCATGCATTTGTAGTTATAATCTCATCATCTGGGATAAGGGATTATTGGAATTCTAGAAATTATATGATTTATGTGATCAGGACCATAACTGGTACATTTATGTGGCATTATGTGCTGCTGGACCCAGTTTTGGATCYGATGCTTTACAGTTTCGGCTCACATGCGTGGGGATATGGTTGCCATAGAGACTCTGGTTACATTAAGTGGGTTGTTAAAGCTGATTTTCCCAGCTGCTCTTCACATGAAACAATATAAAAGTATGCCTTTTTGCACCTGCAGCTATATGTTTTGATTTTAAAATAGCGTCCTGTGAAATATTCTCACGCTGAAGTCGTGTTCACTGTTAGAGAAACTCACATCAGTAGAGTTCGATTGTGTCMGTTTCAAGGTTCTTTATTTTCTCAAAAGTTGGGTTCAGTGTGGGCTGGCTCACCTCCTCCAGCTCCTGAATGCATCCCTGTGTGTGAGATCTAGCAGAAGCTGTTGCGTAACCTGGAATGAATGTTTATTTATCCAGTAGTAGCTGAACCTAATTGTCTGAGAAATGTCAAACGAGGGCACATTTCTGACAACCAGTTAACAGAGGTAAACATGTTTACACAATGAACAAAGCATGACTTTTCAAGGCTTAAATGAATAATTCAGATCTTTTTTAAGTTTTATTTTTTTGTGGAAGGAACAATTAATATCTTACTTGTTGTGGATAGGTTTTTGATTTACATCAGTTTGGAAAAATTAAGTTTATTTTTGACCAGACTGATGAGCTAACCGCTAATCAGAGCAGGACTAAAACCAAAGTGGATCGTTGACATCTTAAAACTGCTTTGATTTACAAAACTTCTCAGCAGGTCATGCAAACGCTACATTAAAACTAGGGGTGTCCCGATACCAGTTTTTTCAAGACTGAGTACAAGTACGAGTACTTCAGTTTAGGTACTCACCGATACCGATACCGATACCAAGTAGCGGGGTTCATGTGGATTATCTGTTCAACTTGTTGAATGTTAAACAGAATGAAAATGAAATGCAATTATCATGCAAAAATTGATGGGTAAATATTATGTTTGACAATAAAAAGGTAGTGCAAACTCTGACAAGTAGATAAGTTGGTATAAAAATCACACCATAACTTTTGAAACCATTTATTTTATTTCAAACAGGCTCTTTTTTATAAGGCCACACTCCCTCTGAATGTATGAACAATACAAATACTGCAAAACAAATGCTATGCATACATTAAAAAACAAAATAAGTTATTTTTTATACATTTTCCTCAACATGCAACTACCAAATTTAAATTAAAATGTAAACTATAACGTAAATTTTAGCAGCACATCTATAGAAGTTTACTCTGCTTCAGTCTTAAACTGTTAAAAAATGACTAATAGTAATAAAGTGCAGTAAATTTCAGTTCAAACTTAAATGGAACTAAAACAAAATCTCAGAAGAACCAGAGGGAAAAATAAAATGATTTTACAACAAACTTCCTTCTATATTCTGCTTATGTCTTAGTTTGTTCTGCAAGAAAGAAAAAACAGCATTGAAGTTATACATTCCATTATACATACAGTGCCATCATTGCCAGACCTGGCCCACATCAAAACACTTGCCTGGTGTCAGCTTAACACCAGGTCTGGCCCACACCTGCCCTCTATGTGGGTTAGAGCTGTTTAAAAACACACTTTGGCCTTGTCCTGACTTRGACTAGTCTTTAGCTTGTCAGTCTATTCAGGATTAAACTATATTTCTCCTAAATTGAGGATGTATAAAAAGCTATCTACAACAGGTAGGATATTTTTTGTTCGTAACCTTTCCACATGATCTGAACTATGGCTTTAAGGGTTTACCTAAAGCTGGATGAAATGTATTGATGAGTATTTGAGTTTAAAGACAAGCCTGGCCAGAAAATAATCCCATGTCATGCTTTCCAAATCAGTGATTGGCCTACAGACAAGTGGCTTATGCTGCTACCAATATGCAACCCATTAGTTCTGTTCAGCAAATTAATTACAATGGGAAATTTAAAGGAGAATAACAAAGAAATCAGTTTTTAGATTCCCTTGTTGGAATAAGATGTGACCTACATGTACAAGCCCCGCTTAATCTAAGAAGTATAAAAAATATGCTTTAGCCATTTAAACCCTCATCTACATTATCTGCCTTTTCTGACCCAAACATTTCCATCAATATTGATCTGTGAGAGGCAGATTAACGTTGTGCGCTCATGCTGTATGTGTGTGTTACATGTTGAAGGACTCAGTCTAACACGTGCCTCACTGTAATCTTGTTCCTGTAGCGAAACGGTGGCGAGGAGTCTCGTCTGTGCGTCCGTACAGCTGCATCGAGGGGCTCTCCACCCTCAGCTGCCCCGTCCTGCCTTACACTAAACCTGCTTCACTAACCGAGAGCCCAGGTAACACAATCACAGTTTAATCCTAACAAGAGTCACGCTAATCAACATCCTCGGGTCATCTGAAGCCATCAAAGTTTTTTAGTTTTATTAAAAAACGATGCTGTAATTTGTGAAAGATMGATGGCATAATAAATCTTAATTTACATCTTGATGTTTCTTTAAAATTGCTAACATATCTGAGTCATTTTAATATTTTTACCCTCAGCATAATTTTTAAATTCATACTTTTATTGGATTAAAACTTACGTCAGATCTTCTCCTCCCAACCTAAACTATATCAATCGCAAATTATTAAAGATACTTTTTTTCTAAGTTAAAAACATCTGTATCTAACAAAGAAGGCACATTTTTCTGCATACACAACTTGACATATTTCCAGTAGAGAGCCTGAAGTCGGCTTTTTTTTACAGTTTTTGCTGAAAGTCGTTATTGCTTGCTTGAGGTCCAAATTAATCAGGACTATGTGCCAAAAGGTTCTGTTTCCTCTAAAACACTTGTGGGTCTTACTAMTCAAACATAACCTAGATTCTTAAATATGCTGCAGCTTGGATTGTACAACAGATTACAGCAAACTACAGAGAAGAGATTACAGTGTCATCCTGAAGACATGCAGAGACAAGCAGGCTCAGATTTCACTGTTCATCTGTATTTTAGTCAGTACGAGTGTAATGATATTTCACCCCCACCCTTTTCCCTTATTTGAAGCTACGTTGGTGTCATCGAGTCAGCCTGCAGTCCAGCCGACTCCCCCTCTCAGGACTGGCTGCAGCGTCAGCGACAGAGCGCCCACCTTTCTGTCAAACGCCGCTCTTCTCAGTAAGACCCCACTGACGACACTGTTTACCTGCTCTCATATTTTTCTGCTATGTCCTCTGGAGTGATTCTCTATCTGCTTTAGGGTCAGTATATATTTTGGTTGTTGGATTTCCCTTTAAGAAAAGGGTATTAAAAAACAAGAAACGAGTGGCTATTTGATTTTTGTTTTAAAATACAGAAATCTAAATTAATTTTCTGTTTCGGATGACAAAAAAGAAAATTACCTTGAAACAGAAACGAAARAAAAAGCTTGTTTGTTCGTATTCTACGGCAGGTCGTGCCAACTTACTGTATCCCTAAAGTAATCTGTTCCCCCACCAGAAGGGGCGCTCACGATATCAAAGTTATTCAATGAACATCCCATTACAAATTAAAAGCACCGATGTCGACTTTGGTATCGAGTATATTTGCCAAGTATTTACTTGTTTTCACATCGATATCAAACTCGTAGTATCGCCCACCCCTCACTGAAAGGAACACTCTGAGGATGAGAACTGACAGAAACAGCACAGATTTTGTCAAAAGGCTAAGAAAAAATACCCTTTCTGCTCACAGAACAACAACCACAACAATCACAGTAATGGAATGAAATTTGTCTTATTTMGCTTTTTATTGAGAGAAATGGAGGCAATAAAACAATAAAAGCAGTTCATTTGGCCAAAAAACACATGAAGTACCTCTGCAAAGCCCTTGATCACAGAGTGACAATCATACAACTCATTTAYGGACACATGTCTGTGTTTCAGCCCTTATTTACGGAAATTATTGTGTTATTATGCAGAATAAGTGCCCCTTCCGGTGGGGTAACAGATGTTTTAGGGATACAATTTGGCACGACCTGTCTTGGATGAACAAAAGAGCCTTTTTCGTTTCGGTTTCAAAGTAAGTTTCTTTTTTGTCATCTGAAATAGAGAATGAAACACAAATCATTTTTTTTATTTTACTCATCTTCTTTTGACACTAAGAAAGGGAARTACTTTGTATTTTAATTTTAATTACAGAATTTTAAAACAAAAATCAAATAGCAACTCATTTCTTGTTTCTTAATACCCGTTTTTAAAAGGAAAATCTGAAGACCAAAAAATACACTGAAATACATAGAAACATCCCATCTGTCAAGTGAAATGTCTTGTAAAATCTGTGTATGGTTCATTATTTGGTTTTTCGAAATAAAATTGCAAAAAGAAAACAACTTTTTTTGTTTTTCTGGTTAATTTAAAAATGTAAAATCGAATTAATCAAAAATCCACAGCGTTTTTTTTTTTTTTTTTTTTTTACATGTAAATTAAAATATTTGGTTGTTATAATATAGCAGGGATACCAGAAGTGATGGAAGTTGCTAAAGAGGAAGAGTTTATAGCAGCTGGAAAACTCCTTAAAAACAGAAACCATTCCTAAAGATATTGACAATGAGTGCACTCTATTCTGTATAACTTGGAAAATAAAATTATTTTATTTACAGTAAGMTCATCAGCTCTCAATGAGATGTGTCGACTTCTTCTGACAAACATATCCATGGTGAGAAGTAAAAAAGTAAGAAGTTCAGGAAATGGTTTCCAGTTCCACCAGAAGGTCCCAAATAGTGCACTAACAAAAGATAAAGCTCAGCTTTGCTTTAACCATTRCAGTAAAAAAATAAAAATCCTTTCCAAGTGGCTGGGGACAGGGAAGTCTGGGTCTCTCTGCTTAGGCTGCTGCCCCCGCGACCCGACCCCGGATAAGAGGAAGAATATGGATGGATGGAAAAATCCTTTATTTGCAATTGTCCTTTTTCTAATTTAATAATAAACAACAACAAAAAACACCCTTTTTTATTTTTGCATCTTAATTTGAAATAGAAAAACCAAAGAATAGAYCATACATGGATTTTGTAAAACACACGTCTCCTGTTTTTTTTTTTCTTCTTCTATACAGACGTAGGTCGCCGCCACGCATCCATCACGCCGCAGTCGTCACTGGACAGTGAGGTGGGCGTGTCTGAGCTGGAGGATGACTCCATCTCTATGAGCTACAAACTGCAGGACATGACAGACGTGGAAGTCATGGCACGACTTCAGGAGGAGAGTGAGTGGACAGTGGTAGTGTATTTTTAWAGGACGTATACAGAAGAAATGTGACCTTAAACCTTAGCTTAAAATACACTTATATTTAAAAGACCACCTTCATTTCAGTCATTCTGTTGTTACTATCAGAACAATATTGTCACAGTTTTGTCTGATGAAGGCGTGTCTTGTCCACTTCTAGAGGCTGATGAACATCCATCCATCCATTTTCTGTACACGCTTCTTCCTTTTCAGGGTTGCATGGGTCACTGGTGCCCATTTCCAGCAGTCACAGTGCGAGGGGCGGGGTACACCCTGGACAGGTCGCAAGTYCATCACAGGGCCACACATAGAGACAAACGAGACAAACAACCATTCACTCTCTCACTCACACCTAGGGACAATTTAGAGTTATCAATTAACCTAACAGTCATGTTTTTGGTCTGTGGGAGGAAGCCGGCGTACCCGGAGAGAACCCACGCATGCACGGAGAGAACAAGCAAACTCTACCCAGAAAGGCTGATGAACAATGCTACTTTAAAGAATAAATGTACACAAGTCTGATTTTATCTGTACATTTACTGAATAATAATGAGTGTTATCTTCAAATGGAAGCGTATCGTGTTCCTCTAAAGTTTAGATTCATGTTCTTCCTCAAAGAAAAACCAAACCCACTGTCGCACCCTCCTTCAGGTCTCCGACAGGACTACGCCTCTACCTCAGCCACGGCCAGCCGTCGCAGCTCCAGCTTCTCCCTGCACTCCTTCAGACGCAGCAGCGAGATGGACCTGGAAGAGGAGGAGGAGGACGACGACGAGGGGTACGACCAGCTCCCGCCCCCGCAGCCCCGACTGTTCCGCACCGGCTCCACGCAGCGGAGCGGCCTGCCCCACTCCCACACCTTCTCCAGCATCAGGGACTGCAGACGCAGCTCACAGTTTTCACTCAGCGGACTCTCTCCGTTCTCCGGAGCCTCCGGCCTGATCGCAGAGAATCACTCAGCATACAGGAGCAACGCAGGTGAGTGTTCCATAAATCCTGTTATTTCCCAACAACGTTAGTTTATCTTTTGTTTCGACTACATGTCTCTGTCTTACGACAGAGTATTAGGGCCACACAAGATTTTTAAAAATTTTTTTTTAATTTCGAGAATAAAGTCAAAATAATACGACATTAAAGTCGTATAAAAATAAAGTAAAAATGTATATGAGATTAAAGTCATAATATTACGAGTTTAACGTTGTAATATTACGAGATTAAAGTCATAATACTACGAGTTTAAAGTCATAATATTATGAGAATAAAGTCGTAAATTTACGAGATTAAAGTCGTAATATTACGAGTTAGTCATAATATTACGAGTTTAACGTTGTAATATTACGAGAATAAAGTCATAATATTACGAGAATAAAGTTGTAATATTACGAGTTTAAAGTTGTAATATTACAAGAATAAAGTCATAATATTACGAGTTTAAAGTCGTAATATTACGAGAATAAAGTCATAATATTACGAGTTTAAAGTCGTAATATTACGAGAATAAAGTCATAAATTTACGAGATTAAAGTCGTAATATTACGAGTTAGTCATAATATTATGAGTTTAAAGTCATAATATTACGAGTTTAACGTTGTAATATTACAAGTTTAAAGTCATAATATTATGAGTTTAAAGTCATAATATTACGAGAAAAAAGTCGTAATATTACGAGTTTAAAGTCATAATATTACGAGAAAAAAGTCGTAATATTACGAGATTAAAGTCATAATATTACGAGTTTCAAGTCATAATATTACGACTTTAATCTCGTAATAATTAAAAAAATTGTTGTGTGGCCCTAATACTCTGTTGTACTGTCTCGTGTATTGCCTCACTTTTACGAGCCCTGATAAGAGCTGTTGGTATTGTTGCATAGACAAGCTACAAAGAAGCATGCCCAACCTGATCCGAGCTCCCAGCATGTCCAGTGTTCCCAGTATTCCATGCCTGGTTTCCCCTGCCAACCCGCCCTCCCATGGCCCTTCCTCTTTGCCAACGATGCCCTCCCTCCGCAGCAGCCAAAGTTTTGACTCCTCCAGTGGACTGGCTCGCCTGCAGTCCTCCAGTAAGACACTCGTGTTGATGTTTTGTTTTGTTTTGTTTTTAATCACTGGACCAGCCTCACAGAGCTCCCCTTTCTCAGATTATTTTAGACACAGCCTCACGTTCTTGTCTTTGCGTTTCAGTCCCTCCCCCGGGCCAGCTCAGTCAGCGAGTCCAGAGCGTTGGAAACTTCCCCTCCCCTCCCCGGCACCCACTGAAAGCCACGGCCTACGTGAGCCCCACCGTGCAGCAGGGTCCCACCTCCCTGTCCACCTCTACCAGTTTAAACTCCATCCCCAGCAGCGCGGCGTCTCTCCAGCCCCTCAAAGCCAGCAGCAGCAGCTTGCTGCCACTAAGCCTTAAAGCCAGCACCAACCAGGCCGCCGCCCCCCGCAGCTCTCTGCCTCGCCCGGCCTCCCTGATCGGAACAAGCGGACTTCCTCGTGCGAGTAAAATCATGCAACCCACACGCAGGTGAGCTTTCACAAACTCATTATACTCTGTGCTCAGCTTGTGTGCACAAAGAAATATAAAGCTGTGGAAGAGAAATGAAAGTGGCTTCAGGTTCAGTTCATTGATAGTGAAAAGGTGGTTCGACCACATTTTATCCAACATTGTTTTGTTTTAATGCTTAATTTTTAGGGCACTCTAAACCAATGAATCATATTTTCAGATGGGAAATGTTACAGAGATGGGTCTGGAGGGGTGAATATCGATGTCAAACAGCTGCCCTGTGTTTTTGTGGATCTAAACCAGGGGTCTGCAACTTTTACAATAAAAATGCATTTCTGCCCCTTTGCTTGCTAAATAAAACAGAGCCACAACTGTGCCCACCCTGTTGGTTTCCCTACATCCCACTGGGTGGCATTTTCTGTTCAGTGRGGGTAGTGACCCCTCTGCTAGAAGCTTGAAATATAGATAACACAATTTATTTAGTGTTTGTTAGATACTACATGTGAAAAATATTGTTTAATACAATACTGAACTGAAAAAAGTAGATTACGGTATTTGTTCTTGGTGTTTATATATGTTGGGACAAAAATGGAAAGGGGAGAGAATATTTTATAGCTCTTTTTTCCTCTGACAAAATGAAAACACTTCTTCGGCCACAAAAAAAAGGTAAATCTAGCCTTTTCTGTAAATCAATGAAATATTTTCCATGTTATTTTTGGCCAAAGATACAAAGAGTCACTGTAGAGGAACGAAAGACCCTGTCTGCAGCTATATTTGTGAAAAAGGCTTGTGTGAACTGAAAGATATAAATATTATGGTTTTTTAAAGTTCAAAAACAATTTTAAAAATTCATAAAGTTTTACCTGTCCAAAGACAACTTTTGAACTCAAGTGAAAATAGTTTTGATGAAGCGTTCTTATCAAGTTTAAGTGCAGATGTTGAGGAGAGTTTGTTTCCATCTGTCTGCAGCTTGCTGGCTCCTCCTAAGAGCCTGGCTGCTCTGAGCGCCCTGAGGGACGGCAGCTGGAAGGACGGCTGCTACTGAAGCCAAATGAAGTGACGTCTGAGAGGTGCACACAGGGTAACGGTGCTTGGGACCCCCGCTGATTTAAAGCTGCCAGGAGTGACTGTTAATGTGAATAAAAAAGCACTACTAAAGGACAAAACAGAGACCGGGAACAGTTCTGATCCAGCGGGCTGGATCTGTACACAGATTAACACATAATGACAATAACAGGCAATACTCTGACA